ACTTCAAAAAGATACATGCACCCCAATGTTCACAGCAGCACTAGATAGAATAGCCAAGACATGGAAGTAACTTAAATGTCCATCAACAGATTACTGGATAAAGAAGTTGTGTTATATTTATACAATGGAATACTACTCAGCCATAAAAAAGAATAAAATGCCATTTGCAGCAACATGAATGGACATGGACAGTGTCATCCTAAGTGAAGTAAGCCACAAAGAGAAAGAAAAAATACCGTATGATATCACTTATATGTGTAATCTGAAAAAAAAAACGAATGAACTTATTTACAAAACAGAAACAGACTCAGACATAGAAAACAAACTTATAGTTACGGGGGGGAGGGGTGGGGTCAGGGTGGGAAGGGATAAATTGGGAGTTTGAGATTTGCAGATGCTAACGACTATATATAAAATAGATGAAAGAACAAGTTTATACTGTATAGCCCAGGGAACTATATTCAATATCTTATAGTAACATGGTGAAAAAGAATGAAAATGAGAAAAAAAGATATTACAGATTGATAACCTCAGGAACAAGAAAAGGAATATTACTATAGGCTCAAACTTAAAAAGAACAGTAAGTGACTACTACAAAGCTCTGTGCACAGAAATTTGACAACTGAAATGGACAAGTCCCTGAAAGACACAATTTACCAAGACTCACCCCAAAAGAAATCTAAGTAGTCCTACAGCAATAAAAGAAATTGAGTCCATCATTGCAAGCCCTCTGAAAATGGAAACTCCAGGCCCAGACGGTATTACTGGTAGATTCTACTAAACATTTAAAGAACAAAAATAACATCAATTCTGTACAATTTCAGAAAACATAAGATGGAACACTTTTCAACTTCTTTTATAGACCAGAATGACCCCAGTACCCAAACGACAGAAACATAAAACAAGAAAACTATAGACTAATATCCTTCATGAACACAGACACAAAAATCCATAGCAAAATATTACAAAATTGAATTTAAAACTTTTAGAATACATCATAATGAAATGGGGTTTATCTTGGCAATGCAAGGCTGGCTCTACATTGCTGGTGGGAATGTAAGACGGTATAGTTGTTTTGGAAAATTGTCTTGCACTTCCTCAAGATAAATTACTATAGGACACAGTAATCCTACTCCTAGGTATTATACCAGTTGAAAACATATTCACACAAAGACATGTACAAGAATGTTTACAACATTATTCATAACAGTGAAAAAGTGGAAATAATTCTAATGTTCATCAACTGATAAACAGATAAACAAAATGAGGTATATCTCTTCAGAATTTTACACAGCCATAAAAAGGAATGAAGTACTAATACATGTTACAGCATGGATGAACCCTGAAAACTAACTGAAAAGGATTCAAACAAAGGCAATATATTATATGATTTCATTTATATGAAATAGGCAAATCCATAGAAATAGATTAATGGTTGCCACAGGCTGGGATAAATGAACAGTCACTGCTAATTGGTAAGGGGGTTCTTTTTGGGGTTAAGAAAATGTTCTTACATATATATATACATCACTTAGGATGACAATGTCCATGTCCATTCATGTTGCTGCAAATGGCATATATACCCTCACATACACAGTCAAATGATTTTTGACAAGGGTGCCAAGACAATTCAATGGGGAAAGGACAGTCGTTCCAACAAATAGTGCTGGGAAAACTGGATGTCCACACGCAAAAGAATGAAGTTGGACCCTTACCTAACACCATATACAAAATAACTCAAAAGGGATCAAGGACCTAAATGTAAGACCTAAAACAATGAAATTGGGAAAACAAAAGCTTCACGAAATTGGACTTGGCAGTGATTTCTTATATATGACACCAAAGTTATAGGCAAGAAAAAACAAACTGGACTTCATGAAAATTTAAAAACTTTACATTAAGAGACACTATCAATGGAATAAAAAGGCAACCCACAGAATGGGAGAAAATATTTCCAAGTCACTTATCTGGGATTAATATCCAGAGTAAAATGAGAACTCCTAAAACTCAACAACAAAAAAAGACCCAATTCAAAAATGGGCCAAGGACTTCAATAGACATTTCTCCAAAAGAGATGTATGAATGGCCAATAAGCACATGAAAAGGTGCTTAACATCACTAATCATTAGGGATATGCAAATCAAAACTACAATGAGATACCACCTTACACCCATCAGAGTGGCTACTGTCAAAACAAAACAAAACAAAAAACCCAAAGTGTTGGGTGAGGATGTGGAGAAACTGGAACCCCTTGTGCACGATTGGTGGGACTATAAAATGGAAAAGCCATTGTGGAAAACAGTATGTAGGCTCCTCAAAAAAATAAAAATAGAATTACATTATGACCCAGCAATTCTACTTTTGGGTAAAAACTGTCTCAAAGAGATATTTGTAAACCCATGTTCACAGCAGCATCATTCACAACAGCTAAAGCATGAAAGTAACCCAAGTGTCCATCAGCCAATGAATGGATACCCAAAACGTGATGTATACCTAGAGCAGAGTATTATTCAAGCCCAAGAAGGAAGGAAATACTGCCATATGCTACAACATGAATGAAACCTTGAAAAGATTATGCTAACTGAAATAAGCCAGTCACAAAAAGATAAATACTGTATGATTCCACTTATGTGAAGTACTTAAGAGTAGTCAAAATCATACAGACAAACAGAAGGTATAATGGTTGTTGCCAGGGATTGGGGAGAACGGGGAGTTATTTAATCGGTGTGGAGTTTCAGATTTACAAGATGAAAAGAGATGAGAATGGATGGTGGTGATGGCTGCACAGCAATGTGAATGCATTTAATATCCCTGAAGTGTACACTTAAAAATGGTTAAATAGTAAATTTTTATGTGTATTTTAACTCAATAAAAAAGAAGAAATTACTATCAACAGGAGTATATATATATAACGAGGAATATCCATACAATGGAATACCATGTAACAATAAAAATGAATGAACTGCAGGACACTGTAGATGAATCATTAATGTTGATGAAAAAACAAGACATAAAAGAACATACCCAGAGTGATTCCATTTACCTAAAGTTCAGAAGCAGACATATTATATTGTATAAAGATGCATACAAGGACGGTACAATTCGAAATGAAGACAGGGAAGAGAAATAACAAAAGAAGATGGCCTCTAGTGGTTCCCCATATGGGCACTACCTCAAAATCACCTGGGGTGGGATGCGGCAGCTTTAAAATTACCCACATCTAGGTTCCACACCCCTAACTAAGTTCTGATTTCACTGTGTCGGCAGTGCTGGCCTTAGGCATCCACTTCCAAAGCTCTAGGGTTTCTAATGCGAGGACAAGTCGAGGATGTTGCTCATAGGTGGTGCAAGAGGGCTGTGACGGGGAGGGGCGAGGGCCGGGCCTTTGGCCAGCAATGGTGCTCCTTGACTTGGGTGAAATGTCACAAGCATTAGCTTAATAATTTTTCACTCTACCGTACATTTATTTTATGCCCTTTTGTATATGTCAGCTCTTCTCTTTCTCCACAGCATACACGTAGGTGTTCCAGGGCCCACAGCTCACAGTCCTTACTTGGAGTTGCTTATCTACAAAGTAGTCCACACGGCAGGGCCGATCCAAGCTGGTTGTGTCCTTGTGGCCAAGCTGTCCGTATTTACCTAAAGTGAAATAAGCCCTTTTGCCATCCTCTCCTCTCCCCTGGGCCTTGACGCTTTTCCCCTCCAGGGAGGAAAACCAGCCTGCCAACCGAACTGCAGGCTTAAGCCAGCACTCTGCTGGTGTCTGCTCTGTGAAGTCAGGAGACAGCACCATAGAGCCTCCAGGACCAGGCAAGTCTGCAGGTCCTCAAGAGGCAGTGGCCAGCAGCCACTCCAGGCAAGATGCTCCTCCAGGCTCCCCACTCCTCAACTCAGATGCTCAGAGCAGAGATTTTCATTTTACCTTTTTCTCTACCCAGTGCCAGACCAAAAGATGTTTCTCACAAATGCTGGCTAAATATTCCCTTAAGAAAAGTAGATGGGAAGTACTGATATTTCCTATTTCTCTGCTGTCTGGTCTCTGCCCTTCTAAGTGTGCCTAGATCTGTTCCAGAGAGGGAAATAGACAGACAGCTTTTCAGTCCCAGTCTTCCCAGTGGTCAGGCGGCCCAGGCCCCTGCTTCCACTTGTCTGCATGGCTATTGTTACCTGTCCTCTACCCCCAGGTCTTTCCTCCCTGTGGTTTAAGCATCACAAAAGCAAACCATTTACTTACCCCAGCCCCAGGTGTAGAGCTCCCCGGTTCCTGCAACCAAAAGGACAGTAAATGGCCGTCACCACTGCTCTTTGACAAGGCATTTGTCCTCCTTGGCCTGCCACAACCCATAGCCAGCACATCACAGTCGTCCTGAGGTTTGCTTGGCAAGGGACAACATATTCTCTTTCTCTTTTAACAGCTGTCTAATCACATTTGGGGTGAAAAGGATCCAGATTGAAAAAGCTTATCTTACAAACGAACTTATTTACAAAATAGACTCACAGACATAGAAAACAAACTTATGGTTACCAGTAGGGGAAGGGGGGATAAATTGGGAGTTCTACATTTGCAGATACTAATATACATAAAATAGATAAACAAGTTTATGCTGTATAGCACAGGGAACCAGATTCAATATCTTGTAATAACCCATGGTGAAAAAGAATATGAAAACAAATATATGTATCTTCCTATATGACTGAAGCATTGTGCTGTACACCAGAAATTGTGCTGTACACCAGAAGTATTGACTATACTTCAATAAAAAATAAATAAGTAAAATTTTTTTTTAAAAGAAAAAAAAAGTTTATCTTCCTATACGCCAGCTGATTGGCCTGACTCTCACAGCTGCTGAGTTCAAGAGTCTTAGAAGCAAAGCTGAGCAGGCCCTGCTGTCGGGTGAGGAGGCTGGCAAACACTAGCCTCCCTCCAGAAGAAGAACCTTTGGGGTCTGACCGGCCAGGGAGCCACTATTAAAGCCATGTCGGGGTGTACTGAGAGAGGCAGCTACCTAGTACATGACAGAGACGCTTGAAATGATAGTTTTTTTAGGTGACCACACCCTTTTCTGCAGCTCCCAGCTGGAGACTGGGGTGGAGTGACTTTCTGCTCCATCCTGAACCAGCCTCCCCAGCCCCACTCACTTGTCACCACCGCTGTGTGCCGGGATCCACAGCTGGCTTTGATGGCATCTGAGCCCATGGGGAGATCCAATAAAGCTGGGAAGGGCTGAACAGCTATAAAGGGGGCAGGGGCTCCATTCTCACCCCTGGCTACTCTCTTCACTTCAGAACCATCTTCATTCAGTCCTGTGGCTTCAGAGAAGCAATAAGAGTGATGATGACAATGATGGTTAACACTCACTGAGCACTGATCGAAACCTTATCCATACATTAACTCACTCAATACCACAGGTGAAGCACAAGCTAAGCTCCAGAGCTGGTGCTCCCAACCCCTACCTTCCCCAGGAAGTGCTGGAGTTGAGAGGTTTATGGGGAGTGGAGCGCTGACACTGGCATCAGCCTTGCCAAACTCCCTCTCATAAGGGGCTCAGAGTCCTGGCTGTGTCCTGGGGGTCCCAAGGATGTCGCATACACCTACTGAGCACTATAGCTCTCAGGTCAGCATATAGCCAGGAGTCAGGAACGACAGAAACATGCAGAAGTCAAGAGTTGACACTCACCTTCCCCTGTGACTGTCTCTCCATCCTCCACCAAGCTCCTGGTGGGCAGGGCCAGCTGCCCTGATTCGTTCCAGCCCCATATATAAATATCCCCAGTTTCTGAAAGACATAAAGGGAACCCCATTAAACAGACTGTGAATAATGCCCCCTCCACCTCCTCGGCCCCCTGCATCCATCCAAACTCCCCTGTTCTCCACTAGCTCCCTGGAGACAACTCCTGCCTGTCTGCCCAAGTCAGCACTCCACGCAGGTGCCTCCCTCAGGCCCAGCAGCTTCCCTGCCTCAACGGGTCCCCTTTCCCCTCAAGTGCCTTCAGGTCACCTTTTCTTAAAGGAAGTCTCTTACTGGATCTTCCTCTCCACTTCCACTTTTTCCCTTTGTTGTTAAATTGCTCCCTCCCACAACTTCCACGTTGGAATCGTGCCCCCAGAAGTTCCTCAATGATCTCTCTTTCAAATCCACTGAGCCCAGGCCCCTTTCTTCAGTCCCACCTGCCACTGGTCCTGCTCAAGTCCTCTTCTTAAAAAAAAATTTTTTTAATTGAGGTAGCATTGGTTTATAACACTATATAAGTTTCATGTGTACAACATTGTATTTTGACTTCCGTACACATTACAGAGCATTCATCACCAAGAGGTTAGTTTCCAACCGTCATCATGTAGTTGACCACTTTTACCCATTATGCCCTCCCCCTCCCCCCAGAAGACCTCTAGAACCTCTCACCTTTCTTACCCCCACAACACTATAGTTTGTTGTTTGGAGCAACAACCCTAATGCTAAAAATCACTAACAATAGTAGCTAATTCTTATCAAGAGTTTAATCTGTGCCGGTGTTTTAAGCACAACATCCCCATTTTATTTAACAGAAAACTTGAGGCACAGAGAAATTAAGTGCTCTGCCCAAGATCTCGAGAAGAAGAGTGATGATTTAGACCTAAGAGGTCTGGTTTGAAGTATCTGTGCCCCAACCACTACACCAAGGCCTCAAATTCCTTTTGGACCTTAAGTGTGAGCTTCCCCATTGGGCTCACTTTCCAGCCCTCCCTTCTCTTCCCTTCAAGCCTGACTGCCAACCCAGGCCCATTGCATGAGAACATGGAGGAGAGATTACAGGCATAGGTGGTTTTTAAAGATCACTGGTGACACCGAAACCATGACCCATAGAGATAACAGAAGATGGCAACTGGTAGAAATTCTTGAACTTGTCTTACAGAACAACAGACAAGGGAACAGCCTGGTAAAACCTCTTTGCTTGTAAACTGACTTCATTAAGTTCATTTTAGTTTTTTGTCTTTTTTTCTCTTTAACTGCATATGCGCCCAGCTTCACACAACTCAGCTGTTTTTACAGGAACTTGGAGTCAGCTCCTGCCCAGTGAAAGCTGGCTGGGGACTAGTTGGGACCACTGACCCTAAAACTGGACCTGGGCAGATGGCCAGTGAGTGCCTTTTAATGACAGAGGGCTGGAAAACTCCACCTCAGATCATGCTAAGTGCCTCCATTTTGAATATGCAGAAGCATGTAACCCAGATACCTGCTCAAACACTGATTACCTCACCTTTTCCCTGCCTCCAATCATCTTTCCCCTGCTTACCCCATAAATACCCCAACCCCCTTTCAGGGAGGCAGATCTGAGATTTATTCTCCTGTTTCCTCACTTGGCTGCCTTATGAATAAACTCTTGGCTGTAAACCCCAGCACCTCAGCATTTGGCTTGCTGCGCATCAGGCAAACAGACCTGGTTTGGTAACAATACAGGTGGCAGCCAGAGCCCCAGATGCAGATCCTTACAAAGATCACTGGCTCCCAGCCCCACCCAACAGCCTAGGAATCAGCTGCACCTGGATCACCTGCCAGAGCAGCAGACTCAACATAATCCAAAATTAAACTACTCCTTCTGGCCCTAGGTCACCAGCCACAGCACCACCAGAACTCACACTCACCACCAGCATCCTCCTCGTGGGCATCTAAGTGTCCACTATGTGCTATACATCATGGCTCCCTGAGCAACTGCTACCTGCCTTCCTCGTATTCCTTGGCTGGGCTGCCTCTTACCCCTTCATTTTCTATTGGGGAGTATTTTAGAAAGGTAGCAGTGGCTGAAGGCAAATGGATGGGAGGCGTAGGGAGACCAGTAACAGAAAACTGCAATGGCCTGGGTGTGAGTGGGCAATCGTGGCGGCAGAGCGGCTTCACCTGGAAGGCATTGGGGAGTCATGAATGACTGGGCTGACTGATGTGGGGTGAGCTTTCAAGGACGCCTGGATATGCCATCCATCAAACTGGGAAAGAAAAACTAAGGCGGCGGAAGGTTTGGAGACTAGGAGCCCCTGAGCTGGTTTTTGAAAAGCACTAGGTCACTCACCACTCACACACACAGAGTGCCAGCCTCCTGCGGCCACCTCAGCCATGGATAGGCCTTGAAGCGCCTCCAACAGCCTCGGCTCCGGCTCTGCCTCCAGAGTCCCGTGGCCCAGCTGTCCGTGCCTGAGCAAGGGAGACCTTAGTCGGCTACAGAAACACCAAGAGGCCTCCTCCCCTCCCCAGAGGCACTCTCCCACCCCCTATATGCTCACCTCCCACTCCGAGCCACGTCTACCTGCTCCGCCCCATCCGCACAAAGGCCCAGCCGCCCACCAGGCCAAGCCGCCACTCACCTTCCT